GCCCGGTGCAGAGAAGGATGGGAGGCCTGGGGTTCATTCGCCTGGGAGTGTGGCAGAACTTCAGGCGAGCCTGGAGGTCTGGGTACCAGGGCAACCTGAATGGAGAGGGCTTTGTCCTCGGAGGGGTGTTTGTCATCGGACCAGCAGAACAGGTAGCTTCCACAGATTTGGCTCAGTGATGCTTCACAAAATTCGTCTGTATTTTTAAGCACATGTTTTGTATTTTGGCAGGGCATCCTCCTGGAACACCGCGAGAAGGAGTTTGGCGATAAGGTGGACACGGCCGATGTTCTAGAGGCCGTTAAAAAAATTGTACCAGTGAAATAATTTTCGTAGCACGCTTTTATTAGATCACAACTTGAATAGCAAATTGAATATTTTTAACCTCATGCAGAGTTTCAGTCAAAATCGAATATAATTATTATTTCAGTAATGTTCTGGTATTTATGAAGTCTGTGTTGTTTAATATCATAAGATGCCGCTGACTTTTGCACATGTAATTTGCTGTTGGTTATGAAAATCAAGCCACCTACAAGCTAGATTCTTGACACGGGTATGAAAATGTTAGGGAATTAAAGGCATCACTTCCTTTTAGGTGCAGCAGCCATTTATTTAAGGTCACTTGAAAATCAGATGCTTTAATCTAATGGCTGAATTTTACATCTGAATATAACTGTGAAACATTTGAAATGTTGACTCTGTGTAAAAGCTTAATTTGCTTCTACTGGTCAAGCTCTCAAACACTCCTTTGACATAACAAGAGCGTGCGGTCTGTGTGTGATAATGACAACTTCACTCTAAACTCTTGGTCGAGGGGAGCAAGTTTGATGCCTAAACACACACACACACTGCTGCTGTCGTCATGTTGAGGACTGTTTGTGGTGCAGGCGTTGCTCGCTTTTGTATGACTGTGCGTATGAGAGAGAATTTTATGCATCTGCACATTTGCATACCAGCTGCAGAACAGTGAATAAAGAAGACCTCATCCAATATCTGTGCTTTTCTTTTTCTTTAAATGTAATTTGTATATTGGTTAAAACTTGGTCTAATAAAACAACTTGCACAGCTCTTATGAGAGTTTTCAGAGAACTTTAGTATTTTTTTGAGTTTTGAACATTTAAAACTTTATCCTTGAAAGCACAACAACAAAAACAAACCAAAAAAATTCCTCTGCATGAGTCTGGTTTTATTATGTTCTACCATTTCACCTTTAGACACAAAAAATACTCTTGTCAGGAACCTTGGTATTATTGATTACATCAGTAAGGTCACCAGAACGGCTCTCTCCCTCTTGCAAGTATATCAAAGGTTAGAAAATTCTTATCTCAAACTTGCACCGAGAAACTGGTCCATGCTTTATTAAGCAGGTTATATTGTAATGGTCCATTTGCGGGACTCTCCATCAGTATGATGACTTCAACTGTTTCAAAATGCAACAGCCAAGATCCCTACAGGTACATGAAAATCTAACCATATTACCCCATTGAAGTGATAGCAGGATGAACCCATGTAATTTGGCAGGTTATTTTAACCATGTCTACATGATGAAATGCACTGAGCGATCAAAGATTTACATTAAACAGCAGTTGAATGGTGTACTTAAAGTCGCCAGTGTGTATAAATTCGAGGCAAAGTCCTTTATATATAGGAGCTACCACAAGGACAATTTACACACACACACACACACTTGTGTATCTATAGCTCTCTATATGAATCAGTAGTAATGCAGAGGAGCTTTTTACCACTAGGTAAGGCAAGCAACTGCTTGGGCCCCCAGGTCAGTGGGGTGGGACCCAGAGGGCTGCCAAACTTGAAGTTACAGCAGTGGCAAAGTCAGCAGGGACACAGGGAGAGACGTGATCACGTTTACTTTGTTTTCTCTTATATTCATCAGTTAACTCATCTAACAGCAGCCTAATTCGTCCTGCTCTGCTGACTGTGACGTGACCATGTCATAGAGTGTGAAATTTCTTTGTTTGACGGTGTCAGATTAAAGTTGTGAATGTTCCAACCACCAAAATTCAGTGGTTTTTAAGTTAGGTTAAATGTTTACGCTCATATCTGAACTGTTCTGCTGAAATATTCACTTATATGGTGATAATAACCCGTGTTAAATATTACTGCGTGAAACAAGCATGCTTGGGCATTGATGTTACACATTTTATTCTATTGCTCAGATTAAAATACATCTCACGTCCAGGAAATATACATTTCAAAACAATACAAACAGAGGGAGAAAACACAAATACTTATAAGTCTACATGTATGTGAGTTGTATGTATATAAAATAACCAAAACATTCATGGAGTGTAGCATGACATGACTTTTCCATGCATGCCTTCAGTATGCAAAGTTGTAAAACACTGAAAGAACTCTGATCTAAAATGTTACTGTCAATAAAATCAATGGCAAAAAAATGAATTCCAAAAATAAAGTGTGTGTTGGACTTTCTTTACATTTTCAAACTTGTAGCTTTGTATTCAAGACAATGGATTTGGTGGAGAGGACCACTTGTGTTAAAATACACAAAAAACAAACTGTTTTTGCACAAGTATGGCAAAAGGTCCATTTGCTAAAGCTGAAACAACAACTTTTAAAAAGCTACACACTTCCTCAGTCCTTTACCCGTTTCATCTTTGGCTGGCTCTACAGGTGTGACATGATACGGTGGTAAAACACAGTCACAAGCTGGGACGATGAAAGTTTCCAAACGTGTCTGAATGCCGACTCAAACCCCTCAGTTTTGTTCTTAAACGTTTGTGCACCAAAACGCGAGTAGAAAAGGAGAAAGATGGGAACAAAGCAACTTGGTTACGAGCAACGAAAGCTAGCAGACCACAAATGATTAAAAATTAGCAGACGCGAAGCCACGATTCAATCAGCATTATCCAGCATGATGAAGACTCACAATCATCAATGCACACTTGTAAAAGCTCCTTTAAAACAGCAACACAAATCCAGTTAACTCCTACAGCAGCACAGCAAACACATCACACAGTAGCTGCAGTCAGCATCGTAGCAAAAATGTCTTCAGTGGGCACTGCAAACATTTCTACATATAGACTATAGTAGTGATGCTAAGTGTGAAACACTGTCCTGCAGTGCATGTGATCCCACGTTGGTGTCTAATTCAAGCAGGGGACTCAAACAGAAGCCTTCTGTTCACATGGATGAGATGAAAGGGAGTGAAGTGTTCATATGAAAACCCAATTTCTCTCCAAAACAACAGAGCCAATAGTTTAAAAAACAAAACAAAACAAAACAAAACACTACGTCCACTTTCATTTAAGTTTCAAGTAGCAACACTCTCCTAATGTTTGGTGAATAAAGCTACTGACTGTTGGAATCGCACATTAACACAATCACTGTGCATTTGTATCTGTACAAAAAGTCCATTCACAAAAATGCAAATGCTGTGCGGTTACTACAGTCCCTTAACGCCCAACATCTGTCCACAACTACATCGAAGTGTCTTAATGGAGATGAATTTTGGTGATCTATACAATCTTACTGTGGTCGCATTTTTAACCAACATACACAAATCATCACTTTATACTAACACTGAATCCGAGCTGGTAATTTGCAACAGTGATAAATCAAACTATAGGAACACTCCTTTAATCTGAGAACTGATTGGTCTTGAAGCAGGAGAAGCTCCTAGTCATTTGCAATAAGTTGCACTATGTACCAAGAGAAGAGGACATTGTTTCCAAGTGCATATGTGGGGCCATCTGATGCATTCACTAACAGAGGCATACATTTTAATTAAAATCTCTAAAATCCCTCAAAAAATGTGCTTCGTAGCTTCTACATTATATGTGCTTTGTACATAAATATATCCAAGAAAAATATAATTATTTTTACACCACTAACACACCATCATCACTATCTAACCACACTGGAGACACTGCGTTTGGAGAGCTTGGTCAACAATGTGAATGACTGTTGATCAAAGATGCTCAAACTCGGCCGAGCTGTCCACATTAACAAAGCAGCTACAAACACTGTGCACACACAGCTACCATGACCTATAACCAGGAGTTTACTATTTTGACCTATTACACAACATTTATTACTGTCCTTTGGTTCAACAGGACATCAGTGGCTCTCGCGCTTTTGACAATCTGGCTGTTTTGATGTCTCCCAGCCCACTTCAGGTCAGGTGCAAACACTAAAAAAAAACCCTCCTCCAAACTGTGAGTTAGTATTCACATAACAGCAGCAATACATTTAAGATAATTTAAGATCCTTATCAACGATATCAACAGCATTTCTACTTCCTCATGGACACACAACACTATCCTCTTTCCACCAGATGCCACTACTTAAAAGCGCCATCACCTTTAAAAAGAAAAAAAAAACCCAGGCTGCCACAGTACATACTTATGCTGATGAGAACCACAGTTTGTAGTGTTGACTGATATAGGATGAGCAATTTACTATATAAAGATCTTTGCCACAGGTACTGAGCACCTCATTACTTTGACTAAGAATATGAAGGGCATAAGTACACTTAGAGGAGAGCAGACGAGGGTAAGAAGCTGCACTGGTAACAACAGGCATGGTACAACAAAACAGGAACTTCAACAGGAGTCGGGCTATTTAGAGCGACTTAACATACAGTTTTCTTGGGGCAACTGAGTTGGTGGCCTCAAGCTTTAACAAAACTGTCAGTGCGAAATATATGACACTGGAATATACACTGGAAAAAGTGGGAGCACAAGGCAGAAAAGACTGTTACATTCAGAAGAAGTTACACACATGAGTCTTCATTTTAACTGAATCAGAACTGAACCTGAATGCAACGCAAGATATTGGCGGGTTGAGGACAAATCAGTAACTTCATGAATAGCCATCCAAAAGTTCAGCTGTGACCAGCGGAAGACAAAAAGCACACCACAAAACAATAAACTGTAAATAGATGGTGCTCTTCTCTCAAGAGAAAAGAAAAAGAGCCTTAACAAAAAAAAAAACAACAACCCCTGCAAATATATTTTATTTCACCCTTCCAACTGAATCCAGAGCACTGTGTGTGTGAGTGTGTGTGTCTCAACATATGCATGGAAATGTGCTTGCTGCTCCTACAGGCCTTTGTTGAAGTAGACAGTGGTGATGTGAGGACTGGTCTTTCGTATCCTTTCTTGCAGATCTTCTTCCAGCCCGCTAACACTCATAGAGCTACAAAGAGATGGTCCAGCATCATTAAAAGGCAGCTAAGTTAAACAACTCTAGATATAGACTGAATGAGTGAAAGTGGCTACTGGTACCTTTTCTGAGGGAATAGGGCGCAGCACAGAGGAGTTGCAAACACCAGGCTGAAATCATGAGATGAAAACAGGAATGTTTCAGATGTTGTTGCAGGTACTTTCTAGGTGAAGTTAAAAATATCATTTGATAAAAGGATACTCTCACTGATAACAAGTCTACTTTACTCACCACAAACCGACTAGTCCCACCTGGACTGGAGCGTTAAGAATTGGGAACCGCTGCAGAGAAAACAGATAAAAATCAGGGACACATACATATCAGATGAGTTTGTCTGTACAGAGCGTCCACAGACACAAGCATTCAATGTATGTGCAACATGTGGAATGCGGTGCGACTCTTTAACCTCATAAAATACCAGCATGTCTGGTAAATCCACTCAGTAGAAACAAAACAGTACAGCAAACACGGATGCAATTCGCTTACCTTCATGAAAGCTCTCTTCTCCAGAGCATTCATTATGACAGGAGGAATGGCTGTGAACAGAACAACAAGTCAGGTGGGGGTTTCTGCTTCAATAGCAAAACAGGAAACTGTTAGTAAGGCTCAGAATGTGTGAGGTGAAGATACATTTTCTAATATATTTTTGGTGAGTGACGATCATAATGTTTTCTTGAATATTTCAGGGGAAACAAAGTCAACATATATTCTCTTAACTTTGTGTTTGCTGTCTAGCGGCTCTTGAGATAAATATCTGGGTCATAGGCTGTTAAATGATGAACACTATACAGAACAGGCAGAAAAACGGGGAACCTAACCAGCCAGAAAACTCCATAAAGCAGAGAGGAGCTGCAGTTTCAGCTGATACTTCTTTGCAGATTGTCACTAATGCATGCAAGGTAATGACCAAGCAGAGAAAAGGTCGACGTTACCCATTGCAGGCATCGCCATCCCAATCCTCGACACCACCACCTGCACGATGGCTTGTCTGGCAGCATTTGGAGACTCTCCTAACCGGTTTCCATTCTCATCAGTTACAGGGATACCGTACTTTAACTCCCTGATAGTGGGGAAAAACAAACATCATGTAAAGCTGTCATACCAGCTGTTAAAATATTAATCAGTGGCCTATTATAGTTAATACTTTAGTGACCTCACCTCTGCCTCATAAAGGGAATGTTGATACAGTTAGCAGCAGCAACAGCAGCAAAAGGGACAAACCGGCTGATGATTGGAGGGAGACGCTGCAAAGACAACAAAATTAAGCAATCAGGATCACATCTCAGAGCAGGTCATGTGTGTTTGTTTTATCTTCGGTTTACTTCATGTTTGTTGCACTTGAAACAAACGTATTACCGTAGCTAGAGTCTTGAGTCCCAGTGCAGTGACTACGGCTCCAGTTGTTGCACTGACGTAGGCTGCACCGAGCTGGCTGCAAGAACAAAATTATCACAGGTCACACACTGAGAACCCACATCCCTTTTCAGCATTTTCATAAGTGAAATAGAGCCAATTATGCATCACCACATGAAGACAGCAGCTCAGAGTCTACAAATTAAGCTAAGGTGAATCAATGCAAAGTTTAAGTGGACCAAGAAATGTGTGAAGTCATGTATGAATATTTAAGAATGAACGAGAACAGAACATTACAATATGTGTTTCACTGACTGCATGCTTGATCCATAAATATGCATTCGCATGTTGCTGTTCTTCATAAATGCATGCATTCAATGCATTTTTGCATCGTCTGGAAGGGGCAATTTATTGCAAATATGCTGACCTGTTGTCAACAAGGAGCACATAATCTAAGTCAGCATGAGATCACTGTGACACTGCCGAACATGCTTAACAGTGGAACGTAATACCGCTGTGAGGGAGAGGACAGCCGCTCCCACAGCCTCCTCACAGAGACTAGTTTAGACGTGGGACAGGAATGATCAAGAGAGGAAGGGAAATGAGAAGTCCTCCATACTTCACGGTGATGGGTGCGTCTCCACTGCGGTTGGTGTAGTTGACGACGGCGTTAAAGGACTGGTTAACCCACTGCCAAAACACCACTGCTGGAGTAGTCCTGCAAAAAACATGAAGGAACAGCGACAGTGTGTTTGAGGAAGTGAGATTTCACGCTGCGTGTTTGGTACCGTTTGTGCTGTGGCAAAGAAGTGACACTACTTGAGAAAGTAGCTGCTAGCGACAAACACTTAAAAAATAATAAAAAAAAAGAGGATGCAAGCAAAACCACTAAGTAACCTACAGATGCATTTAGTCATAACTGCATACAGATAAGTTTGTGTGGACCCTCATTTCACACTAGTGTTCCCAGCAGATAACATCTTCATATAAAATCAATCAGCCCATAGTCAAGTTTGAATAAAATTCACATGCAAAAGATACAGATCATCTTGATAGGGTATGTGTCACAATTTTATTCATGTGATCTAAAAACCAAATGGTCCTTTAGCACAGTTTACAGGCCTCCAGAAATATATGCTGAATTTCAACTTTAACTTAAATCACCTAAAATATTCATATTGGTATTAAGAAACCCCCCAAAGCACTCGCTCTCTTCTTTACTATACCAATTTTACTATATAAAGCTATAATATATAGACTTTAAAATATCACCATATGGTGCCCTCAAGTGGTAGGATGCAAAAACAACATTGTGGTTGATGGTAGTGCACGATACATCCAACCTGAACCTGAGTAATAAACATAAACATAATATGACAAAAATGATAGACTTAATTGTTAAATATTAAATTAACAAAAACGTGAAAAAAATACTTAAAATAAAATGTGAACTATTAACATAAAATTTTAAAATAAATCAGTTTTTAAAACTATAGCCAATAATCTATTATTTAGTTTCACCATCTATTTCTGTAATTACAAAGAGTATTAAAAGTCATCTCAGCTTTACCTTTTATCATATTGTGTATACTTTTATTGCAGATCAAACTGTTTCTCCCACACCCATAAACATAAACTACACTCTTCTTACACTACTGATACTTTATTCACTTTTAGTCACTTGCAGTTATTTATTCACCTTCAGTCACTTTAATTTTAAAACTGTGTAATTTTAAAACTGTATATACTGTGTATTTATTATTTCACTCCTACTGCCTGTTCCTATTGTCCTTATCTTCAACGTATGCTGCTCGGTTGTTTGTTAATTGCCCCTTGGGGATAAATAAAGTCTTCTGATTCTGAACATGAATTGATCTCAGCTTATTAAATGGTCACAGCATAGCGAGTTATCAGTAGAATTAAGAGCAACATTTTTTATTCTTTAAGAGGATTTTCCCTCTGCACAGGGATTAACATTTCTATTTTTGCTGCTGTATTAAGGCTGACTTTTGGTCACACAGAAACTGTATCAAATTCAGTCTTTCATTTATTAGATATTAGATTTTTTCATTTCTAGATTCTCTTTAGGGAATCATTTTAGAAGCAGATTATAGTGAATCGTGTGTTTAAACCTGAGCTGTACCTGTAGAAGGTGAGCATGCAGCCTGTGATGGACATGTTCATTGGCACCTGAGCAGACATCCGGCCAATCACAAACATCTTCTCCCCTGTGTCGGGGTGGAAGGCAGAGTCATAGATGTATTTGGCTCTCCAGAGCTCATCCTCCGTCAGACCAGGCTTCACGATCCCAGCTCTGAAAAAGTCATAACAGTACAGCGCTACAGTACGGTTTTTGTTATATGTAAAAAAAAAAAACCCCCCGGAGAAAACAAGTCAGCATATAATCTCGTTCAAAGCTCCTTCCTATCCATGCCTTACTCAGATCAGACATACTACCCCGCTTCCCAAAAGGTTGGGACATTGTTGTAATATGCAAATAAAAACAGAATGCAATGATTAGCAAATCTCATAAATCGATATTCTATTTACAAAAAACAACATCAACAAAACACATGTCAAATATTTAAACTGAGAAAATGTACAACTATAAGAAAACTATTAGCTCATTTTGAATTTGATGGAAGTAGTGGGTCTCATAAAAGTTGGAGTAGGGGCAACAAAAACACTGGAGGAGTTAGTTCTCCAGCTGTTTGGTGTTGCTATTTTTAACAAATTAGGTTAATTGGTAGCATTTTAGCAACATGATTGGGTATAAAAAGAGCACCTTAAAGTGATGGGGTTTCTCAGTATCTTTGCCTCACACAGTGCAATATATCTCCATCGCATAGAGTTGATCATGTTGATCCAAGAACTGGGATGTTTTTATCTTCCAGGAGTTGTGTGCAGATCCTTGCAATATGGGGGCGTGCATCATCATGCTGCAACATGAGGGGATGGTTTTGGATGAATGGCACAACAATGGGCCTTAGGATCTCGTCGTCTGACCTTGATGAGGACGACGAGCATTTGGATGAACTTCCCTGAGACAGTTTCTGACAATTTGTGCAGAAATTCTTTGGTTATGCAAACCGATTGTTGCTGCAGCTGTCCGGGTGGCTGGTCTCACACGATCATGGAGGATAACATGCTGGATGTGAAGGTCCTGGGCTGGTGTGGTTACACATGGTCTGCGGTTGTGTGGCGGGTTGGATGTACTGCCAAACTCTTTGGCGACAGCTTATGGCAGAGAAATGAACATTAATTTCACAAACAGCTTTGGTAGACATTCTTGCAGTCAGCATGCCAATTGCACACTCCCTCAATATTTATGCTGTCTAATCAGCAGCTTGATATGCCACACCTGTTAGGTGGGATGGATTATCTCGGCAAAGGAATAAGTGCTCATGAACAACATTTGAGGAATGGGTCTTTTGTGTATCTAGAAAATGTTTCAGATCTTTGAATTCAGCTCATGGAAAATGGGAGCAAAAACAAAAGTGTTGCATTTATATTTTTGTTCAATGTATGAAATTGCCAGGTAGCACACCTGGAAATCACCATAAAGATACATACGGGTTTAAGAGCAACGCATGCTCCCATCCAGATGACTTCTTTTAACCCAGCAAGGCAATGCAAAACCACACACTGCGTATACATACTTAACCTTTCACCAACTGAAAACAGCACGAGATGAAAAATATGACAAATATGACCCCAAAATGTAGAGCAGTTCAAATCCTACGTGAGCCAAGAATAGGACAGCATTCCTCCCCCAAAATCCATAACTAGTCTCCTCAGTTCCCAGAAGAGAGGACTCAACACAATGGTAAACATGGCCCTTTTACAATGTTTTTGAGACATTTTGCTGCCAGTAAATTCAAAATGAGCTAATAATTTTCTTAAAATTCTACACTTTCTCAGTTTAAACATTTGATATGTTTTCTATATCCTATTGTAATTAAAATATGGGTTTTTACACAGTGTCTTTTGGAATAAGGGTTATACATTCCTACTCCCTTCTTTATATCTTGACCTTCTCTACCTGTAGTTCTCCACAGTCACTCTGGCCTCCTCCAGAGTCTCAGAGGACAGCAGGACATTCCTGGGGTCCGTGACCATGAAGAAGTGCTTGGCGCGGCCCGTGAACGTGCCTTGGTCCCATCTTGGCTCCTTGATGTTTATGTTGCGGGACACCTCTTCTGACATCCTGGCTTCTTCACTCAGAAATTTTGATTAGTGCTCAGGCACAAACGTAAAACACTGCAGAAAACATCAAGTCAGAAGAAAAAAAGAACCATATGAGTTGGATTAACTAATGCATTTCTCACAGAAAAGACTTGTCAAAACATTTTATAGGCAAGAAAAATAAACCCTAAAAAACAACAAACATGCCCTGAATGTTATTTTAAAATTTTATGCATGCTCAAATATCACAAACAGAGATCAAAGTTTGAAACAACATAAGTATGGCGACCTGATTCCTAGCCCTACAAGTGTAATTATTGTAATGAAAACCGCTGGTGGCAGAGATAAGCACTCATCCGCGTTTCACTAAAAGCTGTGCTGCATTCCAGAGATACATTGTGCTAACGAAACCCTCCACCTTTACTGTACAGGACACCACCCTGTACAATCTTTGTGGAAACAACCCTTCGGGGCATTCGAGTTTTACTGCATTCTTCATCACTCAGTGCTTTCTGAAGCCTAAATAACACTTTCTGTTTGCTGTATTAAATTAAAACCACAATAAACTGTTGTTTTGTCCATTTGTGGGTTCCTTATAAGCAGCTCTTCGCTTTCAGTGCAGTCCAAATTAAAATGTGAGCTGTGTCTGTGAGTATAGGATAAAGTAAAATTAAGATGTTTTTATCCATTAAATGCCCACACCACACCAAAAAGCCCACAGTCACTTAAAGATCCAAGTTGGACTGTACAATTTCAAATAAAACAATTGTAATACAACTATTGACCTCTTTCAGATCCAACTCTTTATCTCTGTGCTGTTCACATTATGGCTTTTCACCACAGTGTTAACTGGATAACTTCATCCAGCACTTGGGCCATAATTGAGTAAGAAACTGGGGGGCACAGCAGTGTGGAGACCTTGGTTTGTTCTTTCTGGCATGAAGGTCACAACTACCAAATTGATTTAAAAACAAAAAAAAACACCTTAAAGAGCGAGATAACACCTGATAGCGTGGATAAATAGATAACAGAGGAGTTGGCTATTGGTTTGCTCCTTCAAACTATGTGTAAAGTACACGAGCCTCCAATCGCCTCACTAGCGAGACAACCACATGAATGATGTTTGTCATACCGAAATAGCCGATTAAAGAAAACCGCAACAGACACAGTGGCAGATGGGTTTGGGGTTGTCACGACAGGTGCCCCAGTTCCTGTCACCAAGCTGGCTGCTAAATGGCTAGCGAACGCGCTAGCAAGGTAGCCGACAGCAGCACTGCAAATCACGAACTGGAGAACAGAAATACCCACTGTTGTTAATAAAACGGAGTTAAATGTAAAAAACAAAAAATCCCCCCCCCCCAAAAAAAACCCATCAAATGTTCGGACAGATGGGAGAACAAACAGATTTCTAATGTCATCAAAATACCTGCTAACTAACGTCCCCTAACCAGCTAGTTTACAAGCTAGCAAGCACATTAGCACCTCAGTTAGCGTTGTAAGGACAAATATGGAAATAGAGCGAGCGCTAATTTAATCAGATCTGATCATTATTGATCAGTGATGTGAATTCAGCAATCACGGAAACATACCTGCTCTTAACTCCCTGGTTTTTGAAAATGTATGACCTCTCAATATCACAGCACCACCGGGAAGACATATGCTGCCTTCGCGTACTTATTGAAATATAGTAACATAGCATTTTGAAAAAAAAAAAGGATGGGTCGGTAAATAATTCGTGGAGCAAGTAACAATCAATAATGTTCTGTCTATGTTCTGTGTTACTCATATGAGGATTCATTACAGATGTCTACAGTGATAAAATAATGGGAATTAAAATGCGTGCCAGACGGTATGTGGACGGTCAAAGACTTCTTCGATTTGTTTGCTCAGTTGCAGTATGATGAATATCTATTCTATTCTATTGTTTTTTATTAAATACAACAGTAGAAAATGTAAAATATAGAATAAATCATTTAAATGTAGTCAAACTGTTCGCATGAAGCTGAGGGTTAAAACAAAAACGAGTTTCTAAGCTGCCCGTTAAGGCAGCGCCGTGCGACGAAACAGGAGGGGCGGTGTTTATGGTGAAAAACTCCTGGGCGTGGGAGGAAGATCACGCAGGATTGGCTAAAAGCTGGCGGGACAGGGGAGGAGTCCACTTCCCAGAAGTCCTTAGTTTATTAAGTGATGGGATTTCCGACTCTTTTTAGAGAACCGGCTCTTTCAGCTCGACTCACTAAAAAGACCCGGGTCTTTCGACTCTTCAGGTTGTTTTGTTGCTTTAATTTATTTATTATTAACAATAATATAAAATTATGCACAAAAGGAATTACTAATGTAAAAAAAAGGGGTTTTATTTATATATGTTTATATATAAATATATGCAGTGGCACCTAAAGACAAAACACGTACAAATTCCAAAACACATTTCTAGCATTAACTGAACTTCCAAAACAGAGCGACCTAGATCACTTAAAGTTAATTTATCTGTTATTACCACACACCAAATCCAGTCGTTGGTACTTGCTTGTGTAGCCACTGGGTAACAAAAGCTCAGCACTGCGCCTAGCATTCTGGAGCACTTCTGTTGTGTTTTGTACGTGTTTTGGGGTTTTTAAGTTCTTCTGAGTTTTTACGTGCTTCTGAGTTTTTACGTGTTTAGGACTTTTGATGATTTATGTATTCATTTTAGTAACGGTATAAACAGTGGAAGGTGGTGGATTATCCAGATGCTGGTCGATGTGAAAAAATAACTCAGTTGTTTGGTGGTGGCGGAGCTCAAACAGAGAGCAGCCAGTGGATGAGGGAAACCGAAGGCAGAAGAAGCAGACCCAAGGCGGCTGCGGTCAGAGCATCAGGTGAACTGAATT